CGAGAGAGAATATATGAAAGTAGAGTTCTCCTCGATCCCCCAAAAACTGAGTTAGTAGACACCTTTACTCACTAGGCTATGGCTGCCATTAGGAAACCCCAATTTAAACTATTTCCCCTAATAATTCCAGAAGGATTCTTGTGGGTAAATTGTGTTGTAAGTAAATTTTTGAATGCGGAAATCTTCTTCAATTATTTACATTAGGTGCCCCATATATTCTTAGGTCTGAATTGGAGTATAATTTTTTGTTGTTCTATCTTATGCCGAATTTCCCCTAGTCATTGAAATTACCAAAAATGTATACCAATTAAAAAATGCCATGTGAAAATGTGACTATTTTTATGAACGTAATGGCACGGAAATTTTTAATGCCCAACATTGTCATTAAGAATGTTGTCATTTAATGCCTAGTGGAAATTTACTATTACTCATCCATATTCGACTCTACGTATTTTTTCAGACATATATATGCACATGACTAACGAGCTCAGATCAAAGAAATATTTAATGTTTCTAAAAAGCCCTATACAAAGTAAAAATTCTTTGTTTGATCAGCAGCTAACTTCATATAGGCATTTTAAAACCAAATATCTTTTTAGTACTTTTTATATTCAGTCACAGAAAAATTCAGCATCTACTACATTTTTTACGTCTTTCAAGCTAATTGCATCCATTAAACATGATTTATATTCGAATGAAATCGATTTTTTTTTGCATTTCAATTTGCACTTTTGATTTTTGAGACGTACCACCAGTCGTATACGTAACATCATTAAAAATCAATTTACACATTACACATCAAATAGACGTGCGTACGACTGCCTACAAAGTACATACTATATATGTACAAATGTATTGTAATGTATGCATATCCGCATAGTAAACCTCAATGTGACACAATTTGAAAGCCGCAAAAACAAATATAGTACATACATATGTATTTAAATGTGTGTGTATTTAAATGTATTTCGCCGCACCGTGAATATACTATATACATAGCTATATCTGCGTAACAGATGTAAACAGTGAATATTTAAAAGAGGATTTTCAGTATAGATGATCTAGTATAGTTATGTGGAGTTTAGGCCAAAAATAGGCTTTGCACATAAATACATATGTACCATCTTACTAACAAAGACCATTGAAGTAGTACCAAGGTACTACTGAGTACACAAGCTGCATCAGTTTGGGACCTGTCCAATCCTCTAACCATTGTTACCTAAAATACTGAACATATTTTACCCCTGACTCGTTTGTTATCCGGTCCAATAGTCCAAAATGCCAGACTACTAAATATAAATAACCCCAAGTGTTTCTATAGTATCTAGTTCGGAACATAGACAAAAAATGTAGTACGTTTTACCACCTTGTCTTCATCACAACATCTCCTGCAGAGAAAATTAATTGATATGTGCCATCATGTGTGCATTGTTGTAATACGAAAATAATCTTTGATAATCCCGGTAAGAGCTCTTACAATTTTAATCCATAAGTTAATATTTAGTCCATGGGTTAGTATTGGCATTAATCAATGTGAAGATACAGATATTTTGTCGAGAATTTCTGACCGGTCCTTCTAAAAAGAAGAGAGCCAAATCCTTGCTATGAATGGCTATCTAGTATTGGTAGATACGTCTCCGATTTTTATTTATTATTTAGACTGTTTTCTCAACTTCGAATTTACTAACCCGCCTCTCTACAGGTCATTTTGTTGTTATAATTAGCTGCTAGATGTTTCTTAAATCTCTTCTCAATTTTTCTTCCTCATTTTTATATCTGAGCGCACTTGTGCACAAGGGTATCATAACTTTGTTCGTATAACGGTTGTTTGTAACACCTAAAGAAATCGAGATAGATACAGACAAATGTTGGTAGGTTGGTATTGAAAATGGGCGAAGTCGGACTTATAACGGTATTTTCGACAAATGTTAAAACTACGATATTTCAGTAAATCTTGCATCGAATTTGTTTAAAATTAGTACGTGAATTAGAATTTTGGTACAAAATAATATGATTAGGAAATTTTTGGAAAATGGGCACGACCCCGCCCACTTATGGTGAAATGCTGTACCTCAGTAGCCGCTTCACTAATTCTCGGTGAAGGTTTTCTTAAAATCCAGTTAAAAAATCTCTTGAAAATCTTATAAATCGGACAATAACCGCGCTCAGCTCCCATATAACGGTAATTTACAGTAGAACGAAAACTGAGATAAATCAGTAATTACCAAAGCTAATTGACTCCAAATCGATCACTGCAATAACCACTTAGCAGAAAATTAGATTATCATAAATTTTGGATCTTGGGCGTGGCGCCGCCCATTTATGACCACAAATGTGTATCTCGGTAAAAGATTTATCGATTTCTACCAAACTCGGTGCACTTAATAACCGTGGTACGAAAAAGCAATTCGTTGAAAATCATTCAAATCGGACTAAAATTACACACACCTCACGTATAACGCTAAATTTGAGATATAGAAAACCTCAGATATTTCCATGACTGAGGGCGCTCATTTACTCCAAATTAATGGTTACAACAATCTCTTAAGAAATAAGAGTGTTATAGACTTTTAGTTAGTTTAGCGAAAATTGAAACGACGATATCTTCGCCCGAACTTATGCTTCTTTACTTGTTTACTTTTAGTAGCTCCGAAGAGGTGACTTCTTAGAGATTCAAGAGATCATTTGATAGATATTCCGCTATCTCCACATTCGAATAATGTAAGCACAAAGCATGAGCTGTCATTTTGTATAGTGCCATAATATTAAGTTCAGGTTCCTTTGGTGCTGAAGGCGGGTTTTTTAAAGCATCCCATGATGATTAAATGGTTCTAAATTGGTTAGATCTGATAATGCTATTATCACACGTGCAGAGTTTAGTATGTCATTTCATCGTAAATAGACTTACGCCAAACAACACTTGCAAATTGTGCAAATGTATTTCGTAAACCGTGGTTCAGTTCGGGAATGTCCATTTGCGATCGACATAATCACGATTTTTGTATCACGTATACTCTTAATGAGCCATGTCCAGCGTTGGCAGAATTGGCCTACGACCTTATAAAATGCAGTTTGTGTAGCAATTAGAGATGAGCACGACACTAAATATTTTATTTTATCTCGATCCCACTCAACCCGAAATTTAGTTTTTAAGTACCGTAAGTATGTAACGCCATCACTAAGTTTCAATTTAAAGTTCTGCGACTCTAAAAAATTTATTAGAAAATCTTGTAAAACTATAATTCGAAAGATCAATAAAAAACAAACTTTGCAGATAACCTAAGCGGTCGAATTTCCACCCTAGTACCGTTTAAATTTTAATAATTTTCCACTATGAACTATCTTCTAAGCTATTCCAAGTGTGTGCAAAACCTGCATATATGTACTTATAATAGTGGTTTCACAGCTTTGCTTTGCTGGGGTGCCTCGGCGCATACGTAACCTCAATACAAAATAATTAAGTTGTTGTCAAGTGTTTGATTCATTTGCAACATACGCTGTTTATTGTTTTGCGCTTACTTCTGACATTTGATTTTTCTTGCAATATTTTTTGCTGACTTCTAAAATAAGCAAAATAAAAAAAGCAGAGCGACTGTCTACTTCCTGTCTTTGCGTGCAAAAGATACTAGGGGCGAGTGCACATAAATTTTAATGAATTCCATATTTTGAAATTCAAATTTGTGCAAAGTGCATGCGGAATTCGGGTAGAAGACAATATTCTTACACATATGCGAATATTGTAGCTTGCGAAATTAAAAAATGTATACTTGTAACACCCATTTTAACTACATACATACATACATACATGCATACAAAAAATTGTATTGCTGATTTCAAACTTACATTCTAAGCAGTTCAAAACCTATCTGCTGACTCTCATTAACTCGTCAACTGCCAAACAACAACGGAAATTAGTACGGTAAAGGAAAAGGAAACAAGGTTGTAATGGTATTTGGCTGTTTATTGAAATCAACGAATGCGAAGGAGTGAAAGAAATTAAAGGAAAATGTTGAAACAAATGTTTAAATGAACTAAAAAAGTATAAATAATCAGATGAGACGCAAATTAGTGTGAAGATGCAAAAAAATCTCATCAATCAATCGCAAGGGGAAAGCCGATGAGACAACCATTCCTCACAAGTACCGCTGCGGCACACATACACACATAAAAGTATTTTCATTTTTTGCGTACAAATTATGTCTGAGTAGATTACATGCCTTATTGGCATTTTCATTACAGTTCGATGGCCACAGGGCGTGTCTAGCCTTCGTTGATATTTGCTGGATACGAATTTTTTGAATTTTTGCCTTGCCAGTAAACTACAAAATAAATCAATTCCAATACAAATCAATGAAAATAGTTACTTCCATCTGCAGAAACTCATTTATTCTACCAAGTACATACTCGTACATATGTAACGAAGGTGAGCAGCTTCAGCAGTTTTGTAGTGTGCCACCTGAATGAATCAATTTAGTACTGTCTGACACTTGAATTGAGTAAACATGCAAACACATTTTGCTAACTGCGACAATGACAATAAAAACAGAGCACCAACAACAACAGCGCAATTTGTGTAACGAGCTAAAGAAACATCAGATAGGTATGCAAAAAACGAATGATTAAAGAAGCAAACGCCTGCCCTAATATTGTTATGTAACCATATGCGAATATATGTTGATTTAGCTTCTCTCTTATATACATACTTACATATGTGTCTATGTCATAGGTTATTTCTTCTCAGCAAGCTTAAATGAATCACTTAACCATGTAACAACAGGCATTGAAATTTTATCTCATATATACAGTTACTCAAACAAGTGTTCACAATAGAGATCGGCGCGAGATAGAGGGTACTGATAATTATTTTACTCATAATGATTACCGTCACTGACAGCAAGAAATGAAACAACACGTTTTGTGTCTTTATTTTAAAAGATATTCTCTTAATACAATTTTAAACAGTTTGCACAAGAAATTAGTAACCAATCTCTACGAAAATATCACTTTTATTATTTTTTGGACAAAACTTTACCATACAGACGGAAGCATGGATTTTTGTTCCATTTTTAATTATATGTTTTGTGATTTTCCTTTAATTTTTAGATTTTATTATTTTAAAAAGTTTTTTTTTTTTCATTTCATATATTTTCATATTTTTATTTGTTTTCTGTATTTAATTTAGCTTTCAGATTTTATTGTTTTAAAGAGAAAAAAAAATAATTTTTTATTTCATTTAATGATTATTTTTTTGTCTCTTCTTTTTTTAATGAAGGTGTTGTTTCTTATTTATTTTTAGATTTCTGTTTTTTATTTAATTTTTTTATTTTATGTAATTTTTAGGGAACTTATTTAATTTTTTCTTTTTTAATTTAGTTTTTTTTAATAAAATATTTTTTTAATTATTAGATTATATTATTTTTTTAAAGAAGAAATATTCATTTTTATTCATTATTCTTAGGAACGTATTTAATTTTTTATTTTAGTTTTCTTTTAATTAAATGTACATATAAGGGCGATAACGCGCTGCATTCATATTTAATATATAACAAAAAGCAGCGCTGCACATTCTAGAAGTGCCTAAGAAGTTTGCAGCGTAGGTTCCTTTAAAAAATATCTATATATTTTTCTTTTAATTATTTATTTTTTTTTTCAAAAAGGAAATTGCCTGCCGAGGGGCAACCGCTGTAAAGAAAAAACCTTTTTTCTAAATTTTTTTGCGATGTTGCTTTGATCAGGGCTTGGACCCAGTCGCTGCGGAGTGGAAGTGCTCACTGCTTACCACTACACCACAGCGGCAGCTTTTAGAAAAGACAATTTTTTGGATGGTGGGCGGTATAGAAATGATAGCAGGATCTTACCAGCCACGTCGGCCGCCCACAGACTTTAGCTACTTCTTAAACACTTATCAATGCAATTTTGGTTTTTCGCAGTGCCAGATGTTACTCTTATTTACTTCATTTATCACTTGCGTACTTGAAATTCATTACTTACTCAACTCACTTAATACCTTCCATCAGAAAATGTTGTGAAACTCACTGACACTCTCAACAATCGCTTGTCTAACAATCTCACAATCGCTAAACTCGTTGACACGCTGCAGTTACGCAAACAAATGAACTCATTTTCTGCTACATACATACATTTTTTTTTTTTACATTTTAACTAACACTTTCCTTCTCTTCACTCACACTACAGTTGGCTACACGACAGCGGATGTTGTTTATCGTTGGAATCGCGAGCGACCAGCTGTTGCCATTGCTGAGGATATGAAATTGTCACAATTCGATTTGGTTGATTGCCCCGCTGGCAACCTCACCGATGTGATCTACAAAGCCGCTGCACCGCATGATGCAACATCGGACAGCAGCAACAATAGGGGTGGCAATAGAAATAGCAACAATTACTACTACAACAACAAGAATACGGGCAACGATTTCAACCACAATCGTTACAATCAGAAATATGGCAGCAAATCGATGAGTACGTTTGCGGGGCCGGGTGCAAAGAATCAACATGTACGCGGTACTGGGTCGCAGTTGGACAAAGGTGCCTTTGGTGGTGGTGGTGGTGGTGGTGGTGTGGGTGTTGGTGCGGGACGCGGTGGTTTTGGGGTTGGTAGTAATTTGGATGCACCGGGTTCAGTGCGTTTCGAATCGAGTCGGGCGTGTAAGTAAAGATTTGATTTATTTGGTATTATTTGTTTTTATTTGTTAAAGGGGGCTACTTTTTGTTTGATTTTTTTCCTTTTTTTTAGTTTTTTTTCGGTTACTCATACGTCATGTAGGTCAACCAGTCGCTGAGTACGAATGATTTAGTTGAGCTCTAAGAGATAATAAATCATGGGAATAGCCAAAGCGCATTGAACCACTGCAGTGATTAATATGCACCAACAACAACAACAATGCACTATGTAGCCATAGGCAAAGCAATTGATTAGTCACACAAAAATAAAAATAAAATAAAAACTTTTTTAATTGATAGCACTTCATTTAAGTTTTCGCAATGCACTAAACATATTTTTCTCGTTTCTCTCTCTCTCTCTCTTTTCCTGTCCCCTATACCAACAGCTGAGTACTCAATGTTAATGGTTAATTTTCACCTACAACGCCATATGGGCAATTTTCTCATACAAGTCTACGGCCCTTGCTGTCTACTGGTCGTTCTATCCTGGGTCTCGTTCTGGCTTAATCGTGAAGCTACCGCAGATCGCGTCTCGCTGGGCATAACCACCGTACTGACAATGACATTTCTCGGTTTGGAGGCACGTACCGATCTGCCAAAGGTGCCTTACCTCACCGCATTGGATTTCTTCGTATTCCTCTCTTTCGCCTTCATCTTTGCTACAATTCTACAATTCGCTGTCGTACATTACTTTACCAAATATGGTTCGGGCGAATGTTATTTCATTATAGAGGAAATGGATTCGGATACCGAATCGGATGCTGATGCACGTACGCTTAAAAGCGAATTCAATGAGAGCACCGATTCAAGGCTCTATGAAGTTATACCGCTTTCGATGTGTTCGATACCGATACATGGCGCGGGCAAAGGTTCGACGAGCAGCAGCGGCATCGGTGTGGGTGCACGGTCTCGTCGCAATTCAGGCGCGAATCGGCGTATGCTTGCCGGCGGTAGAAATGAAGCTGCTGGTGGTGGTCGTTACAACTTCAATTGTTTCGCGTGGCCATGTTTCCGACGTCGCAAGCGAGGGCGCGTCGGGTTCGATATGTCCGACGAGGATGATGAGGAGGCACATTTGCGAGCGAGTGAAGGTAAGAATGTTGAAGCTTTTCGTAATATTTTCGCAACTGCGAACTTAGGAAATAGAATATACTCACAGTTAGTAAAAGGTGGATAAAATCTTGAGTTCAGGGTAGGTCCGTTGTTTTCGTCTAGTTCCGCACCCTATGAGACTTCCGCCAAGCATGACTCCATTTTTCACTGTCTTGCTCCATGTACGAATGATTCGGATGAGTGATTTCCTCCAAATGCTCGGCGAATCAGCCGTCTTGCATCCTCAAAATGCGCCATTCGAAGAACACATGGTTTACATCTACTATAACATCCCCTCCGCAGTGGTCGCCTACAGGATCAGATTCATGTTTAAACCGGTATAAATACAAGTTAAGTAAAAGTCTACTTCGCCGTGCGTTTTGTCAAGCCAGCGATTCATATCCGGGATACAGCGAGTTGTCCCATTGTTGCCGGGCTAGCCTGCAGGCATCTTTTACCGTGGAAGTTTTAATTTCGCTCCCAAAAAGCTTTGCTGCTGCCCGATGGGCTACAATCTAGCGACAACCAATGCTGCCTCATCCGAGACTGCTTCGAACGCACAGCATACCCGAAGGGCACATAATCTGTGGCGATGATTTCACACCGCGGAAGTACGATGAGTGTTGCAATGCTCTGTGCCAAACAGGCGCCTCCGTTTTCTGCTCCTCCAGCTTAAGGCCATTTTTTTCTTGAAGCCACCATTGTACGGCTTCTATGGCTTTATTGCCTTTATCGCAAATTTCGCTTAAGTGTTTCCCAGTAACTACAACCACGATGTCATCCGCAAAACCAATTACCTCGGTCGCCTTGGGTACCTTAAGGCGAAGAACTCCGTCGTGCATAATGTTCCAAGACAAAAGTCCAAGCACAGAGTCTTGGGGAACGCCGCTTGAGATTTTTCGACTTTTCACACCTGCTGAGGTTTCGTACTCCAAACGGCCTTCTAAGTAGCTTGTATGGGCATTCTAAGGTATAAAGCTACCCTGATATGAACCAGTGCGTCTAGGATTTTTGCCCAGTTCCGAGCCAACACGAGCCACTGATTGCGTCGCGTTTCAGCTGGGTAACAATGTTTACTGAGTGAATGATGGATCTCCCTTTTCGGAAGCAAAACTTGGACCTCGTTTTCGAGACGGCTGCATATAACACGTTCAAGGACCTTTCCCTCCGCATAGAGCAGGCGTATGGGCATCTAGCTGGAAGGTTCCGTCAGTGGTTTACCGGGTTTGGGTAGCAATACCTCTTCCAAAGTGATGGGAATGTTCCCTCCGCTGGGCATCCCTTAAATAGGTTCGTGAATGCTGATAGGAAACTGGTGAGGGCTAGTTTCAAAACTAAATTAGGAACACCGGCAGGAACGGGGGACTTATTTTCCTTTACATTTTTGGAAGCCTGCAGCCGTTTAGTGCATGGAGTTGCATTCAAATCTTCTACAGAACAACTTCCAGAGCACGTGGAAATCATTACAGACGTATGGCGTTTCCTTGCCTACTCATTGCCCTCTGCGCACAAATCTAAAGAAAAGGGCAACAAAAGGGTAACATTTTTTGTCGAAAAGAAAGCGCCATTGAATTTGACGCTGAACTGAAAAATCTGCAATGCAACTTAATTCAAAACATAATTTCCAGGGAAATCTCATGCAAGCTGTTTAGTAGGTAGTACATATTTAGTTGTTATTCTAGCACAAGTCTTCGTTCACCACTCGTGGTGAAAAATTATTTTGAGAGAAAGCACTACTTACTGAATACCAGCACAAGTTTCCCCATTGAAGGAATCACCTAACGCCGTGTTTTCACGGGGCATTTAATGTAAATTGTTTTTTGTGTTTATAAAAATAGTAATACAATTCATTTTCATGTGACAATTTCAAATGGCACAAATTTTTGTTATATCCACGCCCCGTTTACAAAAATTTCTTTGCTTCTTCTCTCCATTCAGAACCCACTCCACATCGTGCCTCCGGCAAGAGACGCATGTCCTTCTATCGACGCGAAGAGTTAGAGGCGCGTCGCAAAGGTAAGCGTGTGCCGCAGTACAATTCCGTTTCGAAAATCGATCGCGCATCACGTATCGTCTTTCCGATGCTCTTTCTACTCATCAATGTATTCTATTGGTATGGTTATTTGTCGCGCAGCTCACGAATATTAGCGAATACGCCAACGACCACCTGATGTTACCTTTTAGCAATTTAGAGCAAGTCCGAGAGGAAATCAAACGAATGGCAATGGAGCAGCGTGTAAGGGGCGTAGCATCACTTACTTATTTGGAATAAAACCTTATTAATTTGCTAAATGCTGGTAGTACGAATTTGGTGTGATGATAAATTATTTAAATCAAAAACATATTTTTAGAAAGAGAAAATTTAGGAACAAATGCTGCCGTTTACATTGAAAAAAAAAAAACGGGAAAACAACAAATTTCAAGAGGCTTACGTCTGCTCTCTGTCATTGCTTAAACACGTTTTTTGCTTAACAACTGCAAATTTAATTTCTTCTTAACTAAATTGCTAAAATAAGGAAAATATCTAAATAGAAACTTGAAAAAGGACTTGGAAAATACAAAAAGCACAGACAAAGAAAAAAAAAATTAAAAAAAAAATAAAGATACAAGAGTAATTACAATTAGTTGATGTAAGCATTTAAGTAATTAAATCAAATTTTACTTAAGAAGTGTCATACAACAAAAGAAAACACAATTTATTAAATTCCAATGTGATGAAACAGTTTAGCTTTAACTCGTTAACGGTTTGAACAGTTTGAATGTCACAAAGCTCTAGCATTTGCAAGAGTACAGTGTGCAGTTTTGAGGCCACAGAGCTTATTAATGGGCCTCCGCACACTGGACTGCTCAGTCCGCCTAAAACCGGTTTTGTGTGGATAAGAGGGGGAAGAGAGTTCGAGTTTACCTCGTTCATTTCAGTCGCGGATAGACGGTGGACTGACACGCACACATAGACAACATGTTTTGTATTTCGTTTTGTTTACAAATGCCACCATGCACTAACACAATCAAGCGAAATTCATGTATACAAAACTGAAACCTCTTTTCGGTCGACTGCTCAGTCCAGTGTGCGTTCGAGTGGTGGACTGCTCAGTCCGACTGAGCAGGCTAGTGTGCGGAGGCCCAATGTTTCAAAATTATGCATAGGATTGTGTGAATGAGGAGAGTGCGTTTGAAAGTGTTTGTATTAGTGAAGATTGTGTACAGTGCCGTCTGAGTAACACGGGCCGAAAATAAAATACTAAATATGTGCGTGAATTTAATAAATGATAATGAAATGTATTAAAATTATCAACTCTTTTGTTAAGAAGCTAGAAAATAATCGTAAACTGCCTAATGGCTAAAATATTACCGTTAGCTTTATTTTGGATAAGTAATAATGTAAGAAAAAATTTAAATGTACTAAACATTCGTACAATAAAAGAAGTTTAACATTATTGAAGTAGACAAATCTAATCTGTAATTATTTTGGTAGCATCCGACGGATGCCATCCGCACGGATCTAATCCGATTCGCACTGTCATAACAAGCGAATGAGAAGGATTAGATTCATGAGAATGTCATCCCTCGGAAACAGACAGATACCATTCGCACGAATCTAATCCTTTGCCCTCGCTTATTCCGACAGTGCGAATCTGATGACATCCGTGCGGATGCCATCGGTCGGATATCGTAATAGGCATGATTACCATGCAACTCCTTCCAAATAGGAGCCAAGCAACCTACGCTTATATTTATTCTTAAAAGTACATTACTCTATGTATGACACAATTTATAGCAACAATGCTAAGTATGATCGAAGGTTTGATCAAAGCGCGGAATTAAACGCCTCCACGCAGTTTGTGCACTTAGGGTATTCGATGATATGAAGCCTTACTTCATTCTAACCTATCACGTAATGACCTGTTAGAACTCCCACCGATAGCAAGAAATCCTAAAAGTTCAATGGACCGCTTCCGGTCTGCAGGTGGTCAGAAGGCTTTAGGCTCCTTATATTCCAAAGTCTTCGCCTAGCGCCCGCTGAGCTGGCTACGTGTTCAGAAGTGGCCCACACAAAGTCAGGGGTGCACTTCCTCAAGGGTTCCCTGTCTTGCCAGTTCATCGGCTATGCAGTTTGCAATGATTATTCTGTAACCCGAAACTCAAATAAGCTTAATACAGTAGTAAAACGATACAGTCGAAAAGGGAGTCAAACAATCCTCCACTGTTCTCGAACGAATGATCAAGAAGCCAAGAGCCCTGACGGCGTCCTTAAAAGCTCTCACACTGGAAAACAAACAATCCGAAGCTTCCTTTATGGCGGCTATCTCTGCTTGGAAAACGCAGAAGTATTCCGGAAGCCTAAATTTTAGATTGATGGAGAGTTCTTCGCGGAAGACAACTCCCCCAACCTTCTCATTCAGCTTCGATTCATCCGTAAGGTAACCCAGACCTGGCTCGTTGAAATATAGGATGGATCCGAAAACCGGGACCGCATAGTTTAAATCAAATAGAAGGTCAAAATTACTGGTTATCAGTCAACAGAACAACAGCTGCAGCGCTGATGAAACTTTTATTATTAGACAGTGCCCGTAAAAAAGCTAAGATCTGAATATCGTCGAACAACTCAGGCTGATTTAGCGATTCGGTCCTAAAGACATCTACGCTTTTGATTCTCGATTATGATACCATTTCGTAACAAGAAGAAAACGATATCTTCTATTGCCTTCCATATCCTGACCATAGCACCAGTTTAATTCGTGGTCTTCGCCAGATAAGTGGACTTAAAAGAAGAATTTAATTGGAAGAGGCGAAATAGTGTTTCAAAAAAGTTTCGGTAAGATTGTTATATTTTTGATCTAAATATATAAAATCTTGAAAGTTTACATATGTATGTTCATAAATATTTAGGCATTAAGCCTCCAAAGTGTATTAGTCTAAATCGATTTATACGCGGGCAGTCACATAATATATGTTCTGAGGTTTCTCCTCCTACCCAAAAAAAACCTGCATTTCGTCTCCTCAGAGAGCCCAATTTTGTGTAGATGGTACCTCAGTTTGCAGTGCCCTGTCAGGTATCCGGCGAGAGTTCTGCTAAGAGTTAGCATCTGCTCAGAGATTCCGCGAGTGGGAGTTATGAATCTGTTGGACTGCCTTTTTCTCTTTTCTCAGCCTTTTCTTTGCCTTCGAAGCCCTCATGGCTCTGAACCTACCGCAGGGTTACTCTGTTGTTGGTTCCTAGATTTTCTGAGTACTTTTTTTTGCAAAGGTCTACTACTTTTGATACGGTTTAGCAAGCTGTCTGGCTATCCGACATGATGTTTATTGTTGCCACAATTGCGAAAATTTGCGCCTGGAACGCTTTTTTGAAATCTAGGTCCACACACTCCGGCCCCAGTATGCCACCCTCAAGTTTGGAACCATCAGTGTATAAAGTAAGTTCCCCCGCTTAACATGGCGATTATCGTTTTACAGGTATCCCTTTCAGGTATTATTCCTTGTACCTCCAGCACGCGAAGGGATCCCAAGAACGCTAAATTGTTTAAATTCATATTTCCTGGATTCAAAATGAAAACACAATGAGATATTTCTTCAAAATTTATTCACAAAAAAAACGCAGATTAGGAAATTAATTCTGTTAAATTTCCCAATGAGGGTATGAAAAAATCGGGTACATAATAATGTTGGTTTTCACCGGGAGTTTGCAGCACCTCATCCAGTTCATACGCACTGTTATGACCAGTTCCAACTAATAAAGTCTGGAAACCGCAATTGTGGCCAAATAAAATGTCAACCTTGCAGCTGAAAAACCCAAAATGCATCATATAAATTTAGTATTCTTTACTAAAACTGCACGGCACAAGGCTTTCCCCCGTTAACATTGATTAAATTCATATTTCACTCACACATCTCCAATCATGAGCGTCCGCTCGGCCACCAATCTGCCTGACTTAATCAACTCCTCGCAAATCCCCGGATTAGGTTTACCAAACTGCAGCGCCTTACGTCCCACCGTCGTTTCCAAGGCACTCAAAAGCGCACCCGTACCAGGTATACGAAATTCTGGATAACGATGTACCGCATCGGTGTTGGTAGTCATGAATAGACATGCTGCATTTGAGCCCAGAAAATTGGAGGCCTTCAACATTTTGGGAAATGTGATGTGCTCATCGAAACCCACAATGACAGCGCCAACCTCATCAGTCGATTGTGCGGCCACTTGCTGGGCGATGTAGTCACTTAATTTACCTTGTAGGATATCCGGACCGGGACCAAAACTTTCTATGCCCGCTTCTGTTAGCTCCTGCCTTATAGCTTCAGCGCCGATGATGTAAACTTTTTTGCGAAAATTTCGCGCTTGCAGATACTCTACAATAGCATGAATAGGCGCAATAATGCGAGTTTCGGGTATGTCGTAGCCGATCGAAGTCGCTGTCTGCCATATATCACGGCGGGTCTTAATACCGTTATTGGTGACAAAGTAGATTTGTTTGCCGCGCGCCTTCAGCAATGCGATAGCTTCGGGTACACCATCTATGGCGATGCCTTCGTGCCAAAGCACGCCTGAATTGAGAGTAAAAAGTAATTTAGAATTTAGAAATGTAACCCAGCAGGTTGGCTTGCTGGCGTTTATGCTAAGTAGCGTCAAAGAGACTTTCTTGTCAGTGCGTCACCTCTTCGCTTTTGCGCTTTTGGATTCTCTTAGTTATATATGAGACACACTCGCTCAGCACTTTCACTATCTGGCAGACTTTTTGTTAGCGCTTGCGAAAAGTAAATACAAACTCATAAAATACTTCACCAACGCTCACCATCGCAATCCGTGAGTATTGTGTCGAAGCTGTTAAGCCACTTTTCGGCATCGGTTTTTGTTAGCTCCAGCAAATGTTTCGGGTTATTCTTGAACATTTCTTGTCTGTGGTACTTTGNCGTAAAGAACAACGTATCAATAATTTAATAAATCATTTACTAAATTGCAGAATCAACAACAAAATGTATGTATGCTGTGAGAGAGTGGAAAAATGAGCGAATTTTAATGTACTTAGTAGTTATGCAAAAGTTTTTATTAAAGCATGGAGATCGGGTAGAGGGCTCTGGAGTAACAGCTGATCGGTATAAAGTGAAGGAGACAGCATATACACATACGTACATACATTCATGTGCATTTAGTTGTATGTAGAAAGCCATAAAATTATATGTATGTACATAAATAACAGCACACACCTACCCAGCAAAAAAAACATGTGTCCACTTTTAGTGGGGCTATGAATAGGGCTCACTTGGACATTAATTAAATTTTCTTGAACGCTAACTACAGATAATCTGATTTAGATTAAGAGAAGCGGTTGGTGCTTAAAACAAAGTTCCGCGGGCAGCTGATGTCCACTCCGAATACCGAATGCCGGGCCTCTTCCTTCAAGCGGCTGCAGCAGTAGGAATCCGTGACTATATTAACAGGGCAATTCTAGCAACTGCCTTTCAACTCATCACAGTCTTTCGAAAGACAGAAGTCTTTCGTAAGGCAATTGTCAATTCGGCCAACTATCTTGAAAGCTCTTTACTGTCTTTCGAAAAACTTATTGAAAGATCTGCTAACGAGGAGGCCTTAGTGTTATGCTGTTCGCTTTCATTCATTTTTTGTTCTTATTAAATTAAATAAAAAATGTATATATATATATTTTCCTTAAAAAAAGTGACAGCTAATAAATAAAAGAAAAAAATATAAAAAAAAAATTAAAATAAAGCAAAAATAAATATACATTTTTTTTAAAATTAAATTTAAAAACATACTTATTTCTTATTAAAACAATAAAATCTAAAATTTAATTTAGATGAAGAAAAAATTCAATCAAAAAAGAAAAAAATAATACTTAAAGATTCAAAAAAATTACAAAATCTAAAAACTAAAAGAAATTTTAATTGGAAAATAGACAAAAGAAATAAAAATAAAAAGATAAGATCCTAAAAATTTAATGGGATTAAAAAAATATTTTTTTTTTCAAATTTTTTGGATTCACAAGGACGAATCGGTAATTTTTTAAGCTGATAAAGTTAGGAGTACGAAATTCGAAACAAATATTGCGAAATTTCAAGGATAAAATTTTAAAAGGCCATTTTCAATATTTACCAGTCCTTATGCACCAAAAAATTTAATCTGATTGGATTCTACAGAAATTCCTCCTTAATTTGAAGCACATACTTCTTCTCAAAGCACGTTTCACTGAAATGTTTAAATCATTTTTGAATTACTGTCGTCAAAGAGAAAAACTAAAAACACAATTTTACAATATTTGGCCCATGGTTTCGCGAATATATTGATTTTTGTGTGTAAAATTTACTATCGCACGGTATTATTTATATGTATTTACAAAAAATATATATTATTAAATAAAAAAATAAATATAGCCAATACTGGTCAAGAAAAGTAGTTTCTATTATTGCCATTAGTGCAAGTTACAAATCTCGAAAACCCAGGGATTATTTGCCAAGAATCTCGGGATTTTCGGGACTTAAAAAAGGCCGGAACCCGGGATTTTGGGGATCCCGGAATTAACTATCCTAATATTTACCCTTCTAGTCTTCAAACCACTGGTGCGTAGGAAATCGACTGACTCTTTTATAGCTACCATCTTTGCCTCAAAGACGCTGCAGAAATCCAACAGCCTGAAAATGAGATTTATTGAGAGTTCCTGACAGAAAAATACCTTCTCTAACTCGGCCTTTCAGCTTCGATCCATCCGTGAAGATTTTTATTGGACTTCAACTCCAGAGGGGCTGCCGACGGATCTGTTTGGGTCACCTTCGGAGCGCTCCTATGCATTGCTATGCCATCAGGTGCGATAGTGGGCATAGCGTTAAGCGCTAAAGTAGGAGTGGTCACGCTTCCTAACAAGAGTAGACTTTTCTAGTGAATTCTATCAGATAATGATATGAAAAAAACCGTAAAAGCCGTCAGCAAAAAAATAAAAAATTGAATATCAATGCGATTTTTTAGCCGCTCACTTGTTAACTGCCTACCCAAAAAATGTCTAAAAATTCATGTTAAAAAAAAAAAATTGTGGAATTTTTCTAAGTTCTGTATAAAGTTTGAAAGTGCGATTTATATAGTTTTTGTTAAAGCATGAGCCACATCTTTATAAAACAAATATCAAAAAAATTTTAGCTTAAACAAGTAAGAAAGTCTAAGTTCGGGCGGAGCCGAACAT